TGACGTATCAGCTCGAGTGTCTGCGGAGACAAGCGTCTCTTCGTGACCTTAGGACTCTCGGCTTTCATACGCTAACGCGAAGATATTCAACGAGTCGATCGTATTCTTCGTCGATGTTGTCGACAACGGTATCTTCCCAAGAGCCGACTAATGATTTGAATACATCCCAGCTTATGGTAGTTCGGGACTCGTTGTTTGATTAGCGGCTTTCTCTCTCTCTCGAAATCGGAACGTTGCGCGAAGGAGGCGATGGTCTGATCCCGTGTAGAACTTAGGAACAACAGCGACGTCGGTCAGGCAAAACCTTCGATTTACTATGATGTGATCTATTTCGTTATGGTACTCTCCATTGGGAGACTCCCACGTCCATCGCTTGAGAAAGAGGCTTTTGGAATTGCGAGTTACCATGGATGGTTTGAGTCGTCATGATAAACTCAGATAGCCTCTCACCCTGTTCATTCCATTCTAGTCCGTGGGTCCCTATGTCACGTTCTTCAGACGTTCTTCTAGGTCCAATTTTTGCGTTAAAATCTCCGACAATGACCTTGAAGAATGTGTGATCTTCTCTGAAGAATTTTTCGAGGTCCATATAGAACGCTTCGACTTCGTCTTCGTCATAGCTTGATGTTGGTGCGTAAGCAACGAAGATGGTCAAAGCCGGCATAGAACCACATCGTTTCAACCGTAATCGTCCGATACGGGTTGTTAGTTGTTCGAACGAATCAATGTTCACGGTCAAATTCGATTTGACGAGGACGCCAACGCCGCCGACACCTCTGCGATCGCATGTTCCAAGGAACAGTTCTTCTCCGGTGTCATAGACAGCGTGAAAAGGATGGCGCCTTCTCGTCTCAGCCAGGCCAATGACGTCGTACCTTATTCTTCTTGCTTGAATCAATAGATCTTCTACAGCGGATTGGTGAGCAAGGGTTCTTGCGTTGTAGGTACAGATAGTCATTTTAGTCCGTTTCGATCTTGGCAGCATAGTTCGGCCCTGAGATTTTAGCAGCCTCTCCGTACTCGTCCTACCTGGCGCTGCCGTACCAGGGGCTCTTTCGGGGTCAGGGGAATGAGGCCCATATTTGTTACTGTTTTTGGCATTTTCGATACCCAACGTATAGCTTGCCAGGCTCTAAACGTGGGGGCTGGGTACTCACGAGAAGCTTGCCAGTCTCTCTCGGAGGAGCGGGAGGAGCTTGTTTGTTGGAGGCAACTCTTAACCGCCTCCCATGTACTTCCCAGCCGCTTGATTGCAGGCTTTTGGCCGAATTGACTCGTAGAAATAGAGTTTTTGTCAAGTCGGCGCTGCAGAAGCAGGGAGCTCGTCCCCTGAATCCACCTGCGTCTCTGGGAAGCACACGGTCGCTTTTGGTTCGCGTTTTATTCCCCTATCCACCACCTGGGGACGCGCCACGTGCCCTCGCGACTAACCGGGCGGGATCCCTCAAAGAGGGAGGTCCGTGGAGTGATGACGTTACTATATAAAATAGCGATTTTACAGCAAAATTGTTTTAGTTTGAGAAAATTTCCCAGGACATTTGATGAGACGATCTGCATGAGCAAAGCAAGAGGAAGAATCCGATTACGGAATCAGTTTCAAACACAAAATTGGAGATCAGAACAATTGTTTTGAACTGTATCATTACAAAACAGTATATAATAGCAGTTTTTGATAATAAACGACAGAGTTTTGTCATAAGTGGCTTGAGAGTATCGGCAAAAGGTTTTTTCGTAGATACACTGATTGTGTACGATGGAAGATCATCGTCAAAAGACCATAAACTTTTATTCCATTTATAGTGAATTTGGATTCGTCGATACTAGTGCAACTTTTAATTGACTTTTTCCGCCACATGTTAGATTAATTCGATGAAACACCGAGTCTCATACTCCTCCAGCCACTGAAAACTAAAAAGAAGAAAGTGTATTGGTCCATGCGCCAACTTCTAATTTGGGTGTTTTATGAAATAAATATGGCTTGTAAACCTTACGTGAAGTGCTTCATTTCTCAGCTAACATGATTATTAGAGGAAACTCCTTGATGTTCCAAAGAAAAACATTTCAAGTAAAAGAATCTCTTTGGCCGACTTTATCCAGCTCCAGGCCCACTAAAGAATAGCAGAATATAATTGACTTAGAATGACGTTTCCTTTCTGGTTTCTGTTAAAATGTGTTCAGGAACTTTATGATGGACAGATTGCGTGGTATGGATGTAATAAACCACTAGATAAGAGACCTGATGATGGCCTGTTGATGATGGATTCACTACTGAGGCGGCACGATAGCGTGCTAAGGTTTAATATACCGTTACAGGTGCTTATTTTTCTTTTCACATAAGCATGTAGAATTGTTGGAGAGTATTTTGTCTCGGCAACGATGCGGTTAAAACAGGTCGAAAGTATTCCAGAGTGAGAGCATTGTCTTAGTATAGTGGCTATCATGTGAGATCTCAGACAATCGTTGATTGAAGCCACAATGAGATCCCACTTTTGCTAGTATCTATAATATCTCGGCATCTCTTTAGTTTCATGTCACATTCTATCCTGCCATGGAGACAGGATAGGTCATGATTAAAAGTTAGACAATTCACATTATTGTTCAGCAATAAACAAAAGGTGGCATGATGAATGGCAAAGATCTCAAAAATTAGCTCATTTTAAAGCCTAATGTACTCGTTTTCCATTAGAATAACTTTTCAAAAGTTCAACTTTCTATAAAACTCGGCTTAATTAATTGATATGTGAAAAATCGAGGAAAATTATCTTGATTAGCTGGCGCGAGGTTGGGAAATTAATCGTAGTAGTTCGGCTGATCAAGTTAACAATTACCCTTAGTATGTATCTTTTCATTTACCTCATTCGATATGCGAGGCAACAATCGATCCAGTCAGTTCCGCTTGAGATATGCCCGGGGAACCGACGCCGAAATATTAACAACGCCACTAGGTGAAAAAAACACACCTAACGGGCACTGCTGTACACTCGCCGCTCTTGGCTGTCAAAGCATAATTGTCATATCTTTCATTTCAAGTGTTCTTAGATATGTAATATCAAGATACGTGCTTTGCTTTAAACATGTGCCATAACAGACCACGTTGAACGCTCAAAAGATGATATTAGATGTTCAATAATCTGCAAAATCTTTTGCGTTAGTGAGGACTCGAACCCGCACTTCATCCTATCCGACGACACGTGCTCTAAACCATTGCACTAACAACGCCTATTCCACCACCACTCTTTCTACGCTACAACGCATCAATCTGTCAGCAACTGGCCGACAACGGTTTGACCCGGTAGTCGATGTATCCTGGCAGAAAGCAACAATCAGGTGCCGGCCAACTTATTCTCTCGTTCACGGCTTTCTTCAATAGTGCATCCCCTAGCTCACGTTGTCCTAGCTATCTTATCTTGTAGTAAGTAGGACGAGCTACGTATTTGAATGAGAAACGAGCTATTCATGTTAGTTTTAGTTGCACAGATCGTACATATTACACGTGCTTGCGCAGAACAGAACTCTATGGGCAGCGACATTGGAGGGCTTCTATACTTTTCTGGCAGTTTTTCGTGTTTTGCACCTTGCTTCAACATCTTTTGAAATAAAGCGTATTTCTTGATTGTTTTTAACCCCTAAGGGACGACGTCTACCAGCTGAGGTACACAATTGTTTGAAGGCTTTTCTCGCTGGTCAAAAGTTTCTTCGCGGACACGTGGTAATCATTCATGAGCTCAGATCTTTGCGAATTTGATGATGTGCTTGATTTTTAAAAATTTTCTATTACGTTGTAGCAGCAAAAATAATATTATGTTTCACACTCAATTTGCTTCACTTGCTCGGCTGCGGCTTCGATATGGCTCTTCGGCAAACTCTTATCGGTCATTCGATAGACCAAATCTCAAGGATTTCGATGATATAATTGGTTTTTTTTTGTTGTTACCATATGGTGTCGCAAGAGTGGGAAACAGATTGAATCTCACATCTAAAATGTTAAACCACCGCTGTGACGTCATAGATGGTTTATTGATAATTATAGTAAAGTTCATATGTCAGAGGTATCTTATCTTCAGAAAAAAAGTGCAATATCAAAAAATGAAATTTTACAAAGGTTTTTTCGATATGAAATGCGACTACTTGCTTTGAAAATCTTCAATTTTTAGTGTTAATACCACAGCCTTGAAGAAAATAAGCAAACTTTCAGTCCTTATTGTGCATTTTTATCATTTGTCTTGCGAGATCGTAGAGCGGAAACACATCTTTCTCTACTGAATACATCTGATGGAGTTCTATATGAAAGTGATTGCAATATATAGCTGAAGCAGGTGTACGAAGAGGGAGCGTTCATCATTGCGGAGAATCCGGTACTTCCCTTATGCATCAATACTCATACTAAAAAAAAATTTCTTGCTCCTATCGGACAGTGTTGTAGTCATTCGATAGCTTAGACCTCGAAGATTCAAATGGTCTGCTTGAGTTTTTGAGAAGCCTTTATACTATGCTGTAACAATGTAAAGAAAACTTTATTTCACACTCAAGCATTTCTTGCGGAGCAAAGCTTTCCCTTAAAAATTCAGTGATTATGATAGCATAAATTCCGGAAAATTCAATACTGATTTTACTTTCTCAAAAAAATCCGCTGTGACACTGAAATTAAGGTTCCAATTCGCATGTGACGCGCATACCTTGCACCGGTATATGGATGGATTTCGCAGCATTGGCAGCAAGCCATGGTCTTCCAGTAACTAGTCAATAGCTTGAATTTCGACGATTTTACTCGTGTGCACGCTTTTCAGAAAACCTTCAAAGGAGCTGTAGCAACAGAAATAGAAATGTTCCCACATTTGAGTACTTTTCGATGGATACTGCTTTATTCTCAGACTCTCATACCATTCAACAGTGCAAATTCTAACGATTTCTAATAGTCGAAATTAATAGTATTTTAATGCATTCGCATTGTTATGATGTTTTCTATACACCTAAGAGAATTGAGTGGTGAGCAAAAACGCGGCCTCAGGCGGGAATCGAACCCACGTTTCATCCTATCCGAGGACGTGTGCTCTACCACTACACCACTGAGGCACGTTTGCCCAACCACTCATTCTTCAACATCTCAATGTTAGCTATCAGCCACCAACTTTTGACAGGTTCGGTCGGGTATGCGATTTCGCTTTAAAACCCACTTGAGCTCACCACTCAATTCTTTTAGGTATATAGAAAACATCATAACAATGCGAAATGCATTAAGATACTATTAATTCTGAGTATTAGTAATTAGAATAGCTGTCAGCTCAACTGGGTTCATAAAGTGAAATCGCATACCTAACGATTTCAACTATATGCCTGGTTTTTGAAGAGGATTATTACATTATTGTGCTTAATTAGTGCTAAAAAATATGGAGTTTTGTTAGTCGGCGTCGTCTAGATTGCGCTACAAAGCTACAAAGGTCGCAGAGCTACAAAAATAGTTGCCACTTCAAAACAATTTAGTCGGAATGCAGAATACCTTTTAATTCATAAAAAACGGCGAGAATCTCTGGTTCGAGCTCCTGATAACCGTTTAGCTTAGCTCGGGATTCTGAAAACTCTAAATTCGCAGTAAGTATGCTGAAAGAATAGCGAATCCAAAAATGGACTACAAACGCAATACACTCAATGGAGATTTCTTTTGGTTATGTACATGTAATATCATGTAAATCAATCACATCACTCCAATTTTTACGTTCCTTCAGATGTCGCAAAGAAGTACGGTTGAATCGCTCTTCACGAACCTAAGAAGAACGCAAATGCACTACCAACGCACGAGTGACGGGAGCTTTCTCTTCTTAGATGAGAACAGTCCTCTGCTTGATGTTGATGATGTTGACATTGTCGAGGACCCCATTCAATATCATGTTTGGTCCCCATGAAATTCGATTGTCTTGTTCGACTATCCTACGGTTTGCACTAATTATCAAAACAAGTCACTACCAATCAATGCTGAAATCTAGCAGTACGGCACTCGATGCGTAGTACGGAACCTACTACGTACTACGAAACGTACTATAAGCATCCTTAAGAATCTCGCTCATGTAAGTTTGTTACTGGTGCTTTCAATGTTTGTGAACATGAATGCAGAATTGAAAATTTCAAGTAGAAAGTTGAAATGGAATCAGAGAGCATCTTTTGAGACCACTCTCTTCGGCTTGTCTCTCCTATAGGGATTTATATGAAGGGCCAGCACAGCCAAACGTGGAACTCCAAAATAATACGGCTTTTAAAAGATCACGTTGTTGTGAACAAAAAATAAAATCGACGTGATGTCAGTCCCATTCTCTCTTTTCGTACTGAACTTGACCACGTCTTCCTTCGCATGAGGACTCCATTTGAGTATGAATCGAATAAAAAAACCTGTCATCTGAATTAGAAGATTCGATGAAGAGTTGTGGAAAGCTTTGCAAGCCCTTTTTTCAAAGCAGTTGGTTTCTTCTGTCATCATGCTGAGATATACTTGGAAGAGAATAGCTCTGTCTTGCGAGAAACATGAGTGTGAAACACATATCTATTCCCTCTGCTACAGAGCTCTGAAAAGTTTTCAAAAGCGATTTTTGAAATTTTCGACTTTCACGCTTTTGAAGGGTTATCACTAACCTAAAGAAAGGACTCTGCCCTGCGAAGTATAAGAACGATAATGAGCGATAACGCGCAACGCTGTCAAACATAGTTTTATTTTTAGTTCTACGCTACTATAAGCAGGCTTTCCAGAAAACAAATATATCCCTGAATTTTACGAAATTGAAGCTTGTGAACGACTACTGAAAATTTATTGGAAAGTCCTTGTCCGGAGTAATTTCCTTCAAACATCTTTGCCGTGCAACTGAAGGCAGCCAGCTGTTTTGTGTGAAATTTTTTTTTGATTTCAAAACGGTTTTCGAATGTGTTTCAATAAATTCAAAATGTTTTAGAAATAAACTGTTCGTGCTAAAGTCCTGTTGCTACACTCACAAACAAATGAATTCTATCATCATTCGGGGAAGGCAGCAGAGAAGGGTCTTTATCGATATGAAGAGATAAGGAGGTTATAAATGTCCACAAAGTACTATATGCACTTAGATTATAACTGTCCTCAAAGTATTATATGTACCCTCTGCTTGATGAAGACAAGTGATTAGAGGTTCTTCACTCCATTGGGCTTCAGTAAGAGAAATTTCTTACGACTGTAGTCAACGACATTTATAGCACACACCAGCGTTTCTAATCAATGCAAAACTTTATATATTGCCATTTGTAAATGTAGGATTATAACGATCGACCTAAGTAAGCAGTGCTTAATCAGCACATTGAGCGTGTTGCGTAATATCACTATGAAAATATGCTGAGCTCATTTTTGGAAATGAATAAAGCCGAAATGCAAAGAAAGACACGTGAGTACATGGATTACTTTCGATTACCATCAAGAATTGTAGAGATTTCCAAGTAATATCATGTTAAAACTCAACTATGAAGGAAGCCTGATGTAAGGAGAATGGACTGAACTGGACGGATTACCAAGTGGGTAAACCATCACTTACATAATTCTGAACTTTATCTGAGTGCGTATATTAACCTGCAATACAACTCGTTGGAAGAAATCGTGCAGCGTGAGCCGTGCTCGAGCCTTTGTTAGAGACCGCTGGCCAATTTCATTATCCTGATAAATTTACTTATTTGACGTTACAGTCGCAGTTTTGCATATGCTGCGGGAACATGTGCCAGTACTTCTCACTATAATTGCGTCTTCTAGGAGCACTTTCAAAATTAAGCAGTCACCTTCGAAGAATGCCCTGACTTCGGAGCAGATCAAAGTATACATCAATAAACAAGCATGATAGGGGAGTTTGTATAATGAGATGAGACGATGACAGGGGAATGAGGGAAAGGATGGAGTGGATTTAGAAGGAGTGCAATGGGGAAGGCAACTAAGAAGATGAGCCAACATATCTACTGAAATTGCTAGAGGGCTATATTCACACTATGATTCAATTTTCAGAGCCCTTGACGATGATCAAAGTAGAATACTAGCACGACCACCTTCATAATTGATAAGTGTAAGGCAGCGAGCCGAATGGAGATGCTCAAACCTGAGCGAATCCTGAGCAGAGTCACCTAAGTGTTAGTGCACATTGCTATCACTCGGCCAGTCGAACTGAAAAACCATAACGTACGGTACGTCAAACCATTGTGTATATCCCCAACTATAGCACTTCAAAACCATGTTTAGGTCTCTTGAGAACTTTTTGAGGTCTTTTCCCATTGCGTGAGGCGTACACTAAAATGATGATTTGAATCCACTTCACCGCGTCAAAGATTCTTACTATTACTAAGTCAATACTTCTTCTGTCGACCACTTTTTATAGACCCGTTCGAAATGATTTAATCTGATAAAGATATAACATGTCTTGATCTGTTGAGTATAGTGCTATACAGGCGCCAGTTTCGTTTTATTGGGACTTGTCAGTAGCACCCTCCCTCGGTTCAGCCAATCTTTCGAGGCTAAATAATCCTCTATAGAGAATCTACTATAGAATTATCCTCTATAGAGGATTATTTAGTCTCGGGTTGTTGGCTGAACTAAAGAAGGGTGCCACTGAGGAGTCCCATTAGGATTAAACTGACTCCTGTATAGCACTAGACCCAACAGCCTAAAGCATGTTATATCGTCATCAGATTGAGTCAGTACTGATTTCAATGCGATACTGTGATCAGTTTCGCGGTTCAGGATTAACACGGCAATTGTGGATACTTCAAGCTGCAGTTGCAATGTCTTAGTTGCATGGTAGCAAATTCCTGTAAAACCACAGACGCAGGGACAATAAAGTCCCAGAATGTACTGGCACGGCTACGCAAGAATTTCATGCTAAACCACAGAGGACTACCAAATTCTTAGACCGCAACCAAACGCGGAAAACGATTCAACCATCCTCACAGATATTTACTGGAGTACGAAGGGTAAATATGCTGAACACGCACACGTACAAGTTTGGGCTACCTGAATAGTTTCTGTGCTTTACATTCATAAGAAGGAGGTACAGCAATTTCGAAGTGTCTGAAGAGTGAATGAAATGACTGGGAAAGTTTAAAATACTAAGAGGTTAGTTAATGTGGAAGCCACAAATCATGACGCTCCCCCTATACCGCCTGTGCTTCTTTTTGATTTTTTTTTTCCTGTGAATGCTGAAACCTTGTATAACGGTTGAAAAATCTTCCGTGATTTACCTCATTTCTGCAAATAATTCTGCAGATCTTTTAAAGAGCCTGGTTTGAAGGTCTTCTGCTTGGTAAGCAATTAATTAGACTTAATAAATATCCTACATGCAGAATTAATTGGAAAATTCCTGCCCACAACAACGATTTTGACCGAGTATTTCTGTTTTAACAAAAAAAAAAGGTTTGCATTCAATGTAATTCCGACATTTTCGCCGTAAATCTTTCAAGGATTGCTTCGGTTAAATATTGAAAAACCTTCGCCACAGCTGTCTTGAAGAAATCAAGCATCATAGAATATGTATCTCTAAATTACGCCAGTTCTAGTTACCATATCGTCAAAAGAAATGTGAAAAATGAACTGGAATGCATAACATCGCAGACACGTAGCCTACGTGTTGATATGTAGAGATTGGTAGTGTTCTATTACAGAGGCGTCAACTGTGGCTTTCGGTAGAAGCGTATTCTTTGTTGTTGCCTAACGCATGTATGATTATCTGATAGCTTAAATCAAGCGATATTGTATTTTTCCTAATCTATTGGTTGTTTTTGACGCCGTACCAGTCAAAATGAGATTTTGTTTTATCGCTGTAGATTCCTGGCCTGCTAAAAGTTTTTTCAAAAAAAAATTTTCATTGTTAGATGGAGCAAATCTTTCTGATTAAGAAAATGTTGCAGTGTATTGATATTACAGCTGTACACACACCTTAGCCGGATAGAAGTGCTCACTGAGTGTGAAACCCAATATTTTTTTAGTCGTTACGAAGCTCAAAAAAGTTCTTTCCAAAATTTGTCTATCTAACGAGTAAAAGTTCATTGCAACAAAACTTTTATCCAATGATACATTTTCGAATGAGGAA